ACTCTCTTAACTAGTCTTACAATCTATCCGCTCACGCTCACGCATCCGTCCATCCACGCCACACCTAACCAAGTCCTACTAATTTTTAAGTTGTGTTAAATTATTAAATCATCAAAAGTATATTTAGGTCATTGAAGTTTTATCCATGATTGAGACAATCTGCTGTCGAGTCATATCGGCTCGCCTCTTATACTAATACGGGATGATTTTTCCTTACGAGAAAGGCTAACGCGTTGTCGCCACGTCGCGGCAGTGAGTGGTACTAGTACTAAATATTCTGAAAATATATGTTCAAGATAAATGTCCGAGAGACATCTATATATGATATTACATATAGATATCTCTCAGATATCTTTGAGAGATCTGTGTATGATATTACATAAAGATGTCTCTCAAATATCTTTGAGATATTTGCTACGATATCTCTGAGACATTTGTATAAAGATATCTCTCAGATATCTCTCAGATATCTGTAACTTCATAAGGATATCCTTGTTATGTCAGAGCTATGTGGGTACTGTAATATTGTTTTGTGAATTATACATATCAATTTTATAATTATTTTTGGTTGTATTACTTAAATTATTGCTATTATATTAAGCTTCTGTAGTAATAATTTCTCTATATAAAAATTTTAGGTGACAAGACTTTACCAAAAGGCGCGAATATTATAGTTGAAATTTTTCATATACATCGAAATGACAAATACTGGCCGAATCCCTTAAAATTTGATCCTGAAAGATTTCTTCGAGGGGAAACTAAACATTCTGAATATTATATTCCTTTTAGTAATGGTCCAAGGAATTGCATTGGTAAGCATAAACAAATTGTAAAATATAATAAAATTGTTATATGTATATATAAATTCACAAATTTTCAGGAATGAAATATGCAATGATAAGTACCAAAGTTATTTTGGCAACGTTAATAAGAACATTCAAGTTTAAAGTTAATAAAAAAATTGAAATAGGGGATATAAAATTAAAATTTGACTTCGTATTATCTACACAGGAACCTTTGAAAGTCCAAATTGAAAAACGAATAATAAAGTAATATAAAAGTATAATAAATGTACGAAATGATTTATTTGCACATGGCGGTGGTGAGTTTCAATTTAATATTTTTTGTAATATATCAAATGTAATAATTCTATATGTATATAAAATATATTGAAGTCCCAAACAGCACACAATATTTATGTTCAAAATATTTATTTTAATATTTTATACAGGATTACAAAAAACACTGTGTGTGTGTGTGCGTGCGTGCGTGCGTGCGTGCGTGCGTGCGTGCGTGCGTGCGTGCGTGCGTGCGTGCGTGTGTGTGGGGCCCTGGGACGTTACTTTTTTGTTACTGTAACGGTAACGTAGTTATTTTTTTAGTAACTGTAATGAATTTAACAATTATTTTTATTGTTATATCTTATATTCAATCTTCATGTATCAATCGGTATTCGTACTCTATTATTATCATGGATCGTTATATTTCACATGATATATATTTAAGGTATGTTTAAAGTTATGACGTCAACAATTTGAAGATAAGCTTGAGAGGGCAATTAAAAATTTTAGCTATATTTATATATTTCATGTATTTCATGGAAATAAAAATTTTTATTTACATTTTGAGCGTTTTAAAATTTAATTGCTTAAATGTTTCGTGGTTTCACAATTTTAAAATAAAAATTCTTTTATTAATATTTTTATACGGTTAGTAACAAAATATTACAACGGAGGAGGGGAGGAAGGAGAGAGAGAAGACGAAAGAGCAGGGTGAAAGGAAGCGGAGAGAAAAGAAGAGACGGGGAGTAGCAGGAGAGAAAGGTGAGAAGATGGACGGAAGAGACGGGAAGAAGACGGAAGGAGGAAAGGAGAGCGGAGGGAGAGAATGGAAAGAGGCGGTAGAGGCGATGATAGAAGCGTGGAGAGAGGTAGGGAGAGATAACGGAGCAGATGAGTAAGACGGAAGCAGAACTGAGGGAGATAAAAGAAATATTAGAAAGAAAGGAGGAAAGAAAAAGAAGAGAAGAGAGATGGAAGAGGGAGAGACAAATGGAGGAAAGAAGGGAAAAGGAGGAAAAGGAAAAAACAGAGGAGAACGGACGGGAGGAGAAAGTAGAAAGAGAGAAAGAAGAGAAAGAAAAAGGTAGGAGGCAGGAGATGACGGAGAGAGAAATCGGTAGAGAGCAGGAGGAGAAGAGGAAAAAGGAGATCGAGATGGAGGAGAGAAAAAGAGAAGAGGAGAGAAGGAGGAAGGAAGAACAGAGGAGGAGTGAGGAGAATGAAAGAAAGAGAAGAGACATGTTGAAGAACGAGGAGAGGAGAAGGAAAGACAGGTCGGAAGAGAGGGAAGAGAGAAGAAGGAAGCAAGAAGCAGAGGAGAAGCGGAAGAGAGAGAGAGGGACAGGAGAGAGGGAGAGCAGAGAGGGGGGAGAGGATCAGTCGAAGGACACCGTAGGAAAGGCTAGAAGGGAAGCGGAGGAGACGGAATGGTGGAAGGAGGAAGAAGAGGAGCAGGAAAGAGAAGAATATGAGAGGGAAAGAGAGG